AGTGGGAGAGGGAGAAGCAGGCTTCCCGCTGAGCAGGGAGCCCGATGCAGGGCTCGATCCCAGGACCCTGGGATCATGACCTGAGCTGAAGGCAGACGCTTAATGACTGAGCCATCCAGGCATCCCAATATATTGATTTTAAATTAAAAAATTAGAGAGACTAGTTTTCAGTGAGGGGAAAATAAGAGATTTATTACTATTTATTATTATTATTTATTATTAGGAGAGAGGAGCATTTTTATCAACTGTGTCACGACTGCCCAGAAGGCATTAAATTATGGAGGGTTCAGTGGGACAGAATAGACACAGAGGGAGGAGAGATTAAAAACTGCCTGCCTAACTCTTTTAGAGTTTTAGATGAAAGTTTGTAAGAGTTCACCAGAGGAAATAAATTTATAATGGTTCAGTGCACAAACTGGTTATGAATAAAGACTGAGAATTTAGCAAAATATCCTCTGTGATCAGTATGAACTTAAGCATGGCCCTAAGTGTAGTAGACAATACTGACTGCCTTGACAGATGTTATTTTTAAATTCTGCTTAAAAAAACCCCAAAAAACCTGATTTTGTATGGAAAGCAATTAAGTCCAGTCCCAGGAGATGAATCCCAAATGGTCAAAGGCAATTATGGCAACTTCAAACACTTTTCTGGTGGTTGCTTTAAGAATAGAACCGTTCTAAGGAAAAGAGTGATAACTTCCAATGCTCTACATGTTAGCACAGTAGTCAGAATCCAAATAATTCGTTTTTTACTGTATTTTATAAAAGTCATCGTCCAAAGTAGATTACAAATTAAAGAAAAAAAATTGATCATTCATAGCAAATGATTTCAGAAGTGCTGTTCTAAAAACAACAGACACCACTAAGGCTTTTTGTGCCACAAACAGGAGGAATGTGCAATAGAGTGTGTGGGAGAGCAATGTCTTTTTCTGTACACAACACATATGTAAATGAACCTGGACTACACACTAATCACAGACACACTGGTAGGGATGGACGGATGGACATTTAAATTTTTTCGCTGGGGGAATGGATAACATAGGACAGGGGCAAGACCCAGAATTCCTCCCACACCTGGTTCTTATTCAGAGTCTAGCTATGAGACAGGAGCACAAAAGCACATGAAATGGAGTGAAATGTTTATTATTGCATTCTAAGATTTCAGGTCATGTAATACAACAAAAGAACAGGAAAATAAATGAGCAGGAAGGAAGAAAGGTCAGAATGAAGTGGTGAGGTTTGAAATTATTCCCTTCCAGGGTGGGTCTTCACACTTGGTCCCATGTCCATGATGAGTTGCATGCAAAACTCAGGTTCCTCATGTCTCCCCAGACTTAGTTCTTGAACTTGCAGACATAGGGTAGCTTCACAAAACAGTTGTAATCTTTCCATCTCAGATATCCTAGAGAGACAAAGGAGCTCAGGTAGATGTGGCTGCTGGAGTTCTTGAACCCAAGGGAGAGGTATCCCAGATCCTGCCCTAGGATCCAAAGCCTCTCCCTCATCCTCATCAGTGTCCTGTTCCAGAGGAAGGAGACTCAAAAAGGAGAGATGACAAGGGATGGGGGAAGACAAACCAACACTATACTTCCTAGCTCAGCAGGATTCTCTGAAGGTCATGCCGAGAAATGGAGAAAAAGAGGATGGAAAAGTCTGGGCAGAAAGTAGCTCCTCTCTTACTTACCTGTGCTACTTGACAGACTCCCACAATAGCCAGGGTTTGCGATGGTGGAGGGGTCTCTCTCCCAGGCAAAGTAATTCAGCACATCATTGCTACTCCACTCCCATCCACCTGCATTGGGCTCATAGCCCTACAGAAGATGGAGTGTGGTGAGGTTGAATAGCCATGAGAGTTCTCCTTGCATGAACCCCTCCCCAGCATCACCAAATTTGCTCTGCTCATCTAGATGCTTCCCTGGAGCCAGAGCTCTCCTCTGGGAAACTCTTCCCAGCTCCTTCCTCTTATTGGCAAATTCCAAACCAGTAATCACAAAGACCTACAGAACCACCCAGAGTAACATGTTACTGACTGAACAGCAATTAGTGGTGCATTTGTAATTACCACCTGAACCTCAAAGACAGTGTCTGTTCTATAGAGCAAAAATGGATCCTATCTTCACTTAGGATTCCCTCAGCACAATATGTGCAGACTCTGAAGCTCAGAGAACTGAATTACAAGGCCTCATGTGCAAATTGTGTACAAGCATGACAGGAGGTAGATTAATTTCAGCTGGAGACAAGGAACTCAGCCGGTGAGCCGCTACAGAGCCCTCCCTTTCCCCCTCATGTCCTCCTGGATCTCTGAGCTCCAGGGCTCTTTAAGGCATTTACTGGGCAGGCACAGGGGACAGGGAATGGGCTTGGGGGGGCAATAGCATCTTGAGAGGTTATGAAGAGAAGATGAGTTCATACCTCTGTGGGGTCATGGAGCCCAATCCAGATATTTGAGTAGGTGTTCGCACTGTTCTTGACTAGGGAGGCCACAAAGTTTGCCTCAGACCCACTGAGCACAGACACAAGGTGTCCTGAGGACCTCTTCTGGCAGGCCATCTGTGTGGGGAAGCGAGAGACTCAGGGGGAGTCTAAGACATCATTGGGGGGAGGGTAGGCAGAGGTAGGGGAGAAGGGGTATATATGCAAAAGATGTGGGTGCTCAGTCTTGCCCCCAAGAAATTCTGGAGAATAGAACTGACCCCCCTCAGGTCTCTTACGTACTTTCCCTTAAAACCCCTAACTGAAATCCAAGTACTCACATCTGCATCCATCCAGGATTTTGGTGTCATAAACAAGGCATAGCAGTGGGAGGCATAAGCCTTGGAGCCTTTGGGACAGCTGATCCGTGGAGCGGGCACATCCTTCTGGGAGTCTTCACCTAGGGTGGGAGGAAATAAAAGAGAAGGGAGAGGTAAATAGGAGAGTGGGGATCAGGGTAGGGAGGTGACCTAGGGGAATATGTATGAGGCCAGTGCTTGGGAAGTGATGGCAAAGTCCTGACTGCCTCTCCCCATTGCCAATGCTTTTAAGATTTTTTTTATGAACTTTTTTTTTTTT